CTGTAAATTGACGCAAACGGGGTATCGTAAAATCTCTGTAAATTGACGCAAACGGGGTACCGTAAAATCTCTGTAAATTGACGCAAACGGGGTATCGTAAATTCACAGGACGAAATAACGTGTTTCCGTATTTTGTAAACTCGACGGAAACGTGAAGTTGCTTAAATCCGGCTCGTTTCCGCCCTGCGGAAACATGATCTAGCTTTCCAAGGACGGGACGCGTTTCCGTTACGTTTCCGAGTGGGAAACGAACGATCATGTTTCCGCCACATTTTTATTAAGTTTCCGGTGACGTTTTTTTTAAACCCATGTCCAAGATTGCATGAAAAATATTTCAGAAATTTTGCCTTTGCGTACAATCAAGGTGAATAAAGGTAAATTTACTCTCGAGATCGGGCCATTAAACGGTTCTCATGCATTAAATACTCGCGCGCGTTGCACTGATGCAACGACGGCGAAGTGCGCGAGGTTGCCACTGTTTTCGATTCTAAGTGATTAAAATGGCAGAGAAAACCAACAGCTGTCGATAGTTGGCAGATTGATCTCAATCAGTACTGGCATAAAAATAAAAATGATCTTAGACTGAGAAAACAAGAGAGAATGGGGAGAATGGGGACTAGAACAGAGCGGAGTGCTGGTCAGCGGACGTTTTCTTTTGCTCATGCTCATTACGGTCGCTCTTTTTGGCGTCCATTTTGAAAGTGATTGCACCGGCTTCAAATTTGCCAGCTTCTCTAGGTTCTAGGAGCGTGGAGTCTGTATATTTTTGCTTTCCGATTGCACCACAAGACATCTAAGGGTTGTTATGTAAATTTGTTGACCCATCGGCCTTCAGTAATCGATCGCTTCCCTCGTAAAGCGACCCTTTTCTGACACAGTTGAGCAGAATGTGAGACAAAAACTTCGTGATGGCCAAGAATAATTTGAAAGTTGGAGTGTTTGATTGTGCTAAGGCTATGCAAGACTGAATATTGTGATGAAGAATACAGAAAGCAACACGAGGTAAGCTGCCCTGATACCAAATCTAAGGTTCTATAACCACTGATCAATAACTAGTACTTAGCAACTTAAAGGAGCAGTGTCACGAAATTTGTGAAAACTACAGCAGTGGAAACCACCACCAATCTCGGTGAAACATAAAAATACTGCTCAAAACATGAAAAGAAGTTTTAAGTGACAAAGCAAAGAGCAAGAGTGAGTACAAATAAACATTTTTGTCAGTGTTAAAGTAAGGAACAGATGGACAGACTTAAATAAAATTGAAAAGGATGGCAGTTGGTCCTTTTGAAACTTGTTAGCCTAAGAGTTTTCCCGATTTCATTTTAGCGGTCTTCAATGTCTGATATAATGCTTGGGAGACATATGTTTGTTGACACAAAGCTGTGATTGATAAGTAATTTCTGAAGTTTCATAGCAAATGCGATATGGTCATGTGTAGATGCGATAGCACCAGTGAGGAAGATGCAAAAATGAATATGGAAGTGGCCGATGAGATTGTGGACAATCCCGTTTTAACCAAGTGGTATGGGACATTTCCCATTGGAGAACACAGTGTGTTCACTATTAACAGAACAAAAGCCAAAATGCTGCTGGGGAGAAAACTATCACAGCAAAGAAAACCTTCCGCCTACAAGAGAAAGGTAAACATCTTCTACTCAGGTGCATCGAGGCATAATACGAAGAATTTTTTGATGATCCCTAGTTCTATATCTCTTGGTTACACTGTAGGCTGATTTTAGCGGGCTGTTTCTTTTTCAGTATGTTCTGCTATTTTTTAATCAAAACGTTTTTTTCACCAAAATGTCTCTTGAAAAAGAAAAGAAAAAGAAAATATTTAAGGTACTATATCACACATGAGACACAGTGTTTGATCACTGATCAGAGAAGAGAGTTGAAAATACGACTTGCAACGGGGTATTTTTGGAAATACAAGTACACTTTAGATTCTGAATCATGCTATACAAATGAGTTAAAGAAATGGGCTGAGATGTAACTCGATAAACACTGGAAACAAAAAATAAAGTTCTTGAATTTTGGGTAGGCAGAAAATGATTTGACTTGCATCAGGCAAGGAACTGTGGTTGAAAGAGAGTCTTTAATGTTGAAACCAAATTAAAATAATATATGCCCCTCTTTTAGGACGTGCTTTTGACACTGAAAGGGGCGATGAATGGTCTTTGCGAGCACAAGCAGAGATAAAAAATTGGCCTTACGAGCAGTTAAAAAAATGATAATAATTTAAGGGACCATTTATCACCCCTACTGAACATTACAACATTGTTCTTAAACTAGAAAGATAACAGTAAATGTCTTAGGAAACTTGTTTGAACGGAAGCTGTAAATTACTGAACCACCTTTCTTTGTTTTGTGTGTAACTTGTACAGTAGTAGTATGAACCCCAAAGTTGTGTAGTAAAAGGTGTTTAATGTATGTCTCTGAATCTCCATTTTTCAGTGATCAATGTTTGATGGAACTAGTTAAAAAAGATGCAACAGTATGCTGTATCATGTGGACAGTGTTTGATATAACAAGATAATATGATACTTTTCCCTATGTGCAGGCAAATGCTGCTAACTCTGGAGATTCCAATGCTACAAAGGTGATTAAAATATTTCTGGTCTCTAAGTCTCTTAACCCTCTTAAAAAGTGCATATGAACATTGTAAATCATTTTGTGTAATACAGGAGAACTTCTTTTGATGGCCACCTCTCAACTTCCTACAATGCTAAATAATTTGTTTTTCTCCCGGTCAATAGTCATAAAAAAATTAATGCACTCCTTTACAATGACCAGCTCTCTACAACGGCAGTTGCCGATGCAATAGTCTACTTTCGATATATTAAAATTCGGCATGATAACGAGTCTTAAGCCTGTTTATTCATTTTCTTTGTACGTTTGTTCATTTTTTTTGTTTGTGTCCCCTAAGACTCGTTATCATGCTGAATTTTAATATACCAAAAGTGGCCTATTGCATCCCAACTGCCAAAACAACTAGTCCACAATGGCCTTTTTATAAGTCAGCGAAGTACGAAGTGAAGTACAAAATTAACATATTCACTGTACATTACTTACCTTCTTTAGTTAGCATTTTTATTGGATCTTTGGTTTATATTGTATTGCTATATTTCAAATGTGGTACACCATAATATTATTAAAATAATAAGCATGTTTTTATATACAGTGGAAGCTCTCGTGAAAAAAAGTGTCGTAACTGGAGCTGGCTGCTTACAAGAATATTATTGTTCTGTTTTACTAGTGGAGATTATATCAAGCTCCTTATTGAAAAAATCGGTCGCTCTACGAGAGGAGCTAAATACATCAAATTTTATTAGAGCCCCTGGGTACAAGTCAATAACAATAAATTTTGCTCATTAGCATTAGATTCAGCACACAAGAACTTTGACTTTTTAACTGGTTCATATTTTACAGGCAGAGGGAAAAACCAAGAATAAAAGAAATACTCCTTTATCCCAGTGTATAAGAAAGACTGCAGCCTGTCCAAGGATAATTACAGACCTCTCACCATTCTTCCATCTTTGTCAAAAGTCTTTGAAACGCTCGTTCATTCAAGAGTCAGTCCCCGGTTCAAAGCCAAAGTGTTCGGCGTGTTCAAGGTCCCATATGTTGTACAACTGTGAAGAGTTGAAGAAAAAGGACATAAGAGAGCACCATGGTTTCGTGAAGTTGAACTCACTTTGTTTCAGCTGTCTTCAGCAAGGTCACCTCTGTAAAGACTGCAAGCGTAGACTAACGTGTCAGGAGTGCAAGAAGCCGCACCCAACAACCCTCCATTACGAAACTAAGAAGCAAGCCAAAAGAACCACAGAAAGCGATGGAGAAAGAAGACATCTCCATTCCAGCCATTAGTAACTGTTCTAGTACAGATAGCCAACAGGTCGTCATCAACTCATTAATTGTACCTGTGTGGCTTCACCATAAGGACAGTCCCAAACGGGAGATTATGACTTCAGGGTGTCAAGCGTCCTATATATTCCTATAAAATCCTATAAAGTCCTATTTTTTCAGACTTGTCCTATAAACTCCTATAAATTGAGGTAAATCCTATATTTTCCTATATTTTAAGCCTTCTTGTAAAAAAAAGAATATTCAAGAAATGTAAAAGTTGTATTGGCGTTTAAAATCCACAATCCAGGAGATGTTTTGTCACAAATATCTGTTAGAAACAGCTTAGAAAGCAAATTGCCCAATTTGCACTCTTGCAATGCATTGTGGGTTGACTGTGGGGGGTCTTTCTGGCTGCCATGTTGGTGTTGAGAGGTGAGTTTATATTTTACATCCATTTCCATCCTCTTTGTATTCTAACAATAGCTGTTTATCATTATGTCACCTCACTTGAGATTGATGACCCTTTGTTCTTGTATCTATTTTGAATGAGAAAAGCAAATACACTTGTTGCTTCAATGTTTCTTTTATGATGTAACATCAGATACGGAACGAACCACTTTTGTTTCTGATATGATTATTATCCTTTCGTCCAAAAATGCCTTTTATCTTGTAGAATAACTTACTTAGATGCTTTAATGTGAAATGAAAAAAGTTATAATATAAATTAAAGTAAATAAATCCGTGAGTTTGCTGATATAAGATCTGTTTCAATACGATTACATGTACTAACATTTAATGCTATTTTAGAGATAGTTAAAATTTTGTAGTGTTTCTGCTGTTTTGTGGTTCAAGTTGTATTTTTAAAAACAGTCAATATTTGGTCTGTGCGTTCAGCCACTCTTTAACTGAGGAAGTATAAGGTTATTTTGGTGGTACACTACATGTCACATTTCAGATTTGCATGGCCCCCTCGAAAATGATCAAAGGATGCAAATAACTTAATGCTGTATTAACCAGTAAATAATTATTCGCAAGTTCTACTTGAATGGAAACCCTGCAGCTTTTTTAAACAACTTCTACCTTTGTTTAGAATTGTTCAACAACAGATAATCTTTTTTTTGGTCATTAATTAGAGTGAGACTACATTGGCAGACATGCCCAAACATCAGACAAAGTTTAATGACCGCTGGCTAGATGAAATAGATGGAAATGGCCATAAACTCAGGTTGTGGTGTTCCAAAGGGAAAACTGATACGACTGCATACTGTTTTGTGTGTAAAAAGACAATTCAGTGTGGGAATGCAGGATTTGCCCAAGTTCTTCAACATTCAGAGAAGAGTAAGACACACATTCGTCTTGCAAACATAGCATGCAGTGACAGTCAGACAAAGATAGCATTTAAAACCATTCATAATTCATCGTCCATAGAATCACAGGCTTCTTCAGAGGTATCAGAAATAATTCCTGTACCAGTGCGTAATATTTGTGTTACAAGCAAGAAGGATGATACTACTAAAGCAGAGATTATTTGGGCAGCCAAAACAGCGAATGACAACTACAGTTTCAGGTCAAGTGATGGTATCGGAGATACATTTAGAGCGATGTTCAGCAATCCTGAAACACTCGAAACTTTTTCAATGAGCAGAACAAAGTTGTCGTATGTAATTGGACATGGTTTTGGACCTGTTTTCAAAGAAGAGCTCATTTCTGACGTTAGAGCTTCACAGAGTCCCTTCAGTCTTCAGTACGACGAAACGACACAGTGTCAAGTTAAACGCGTTCCAAACTAAAATGGGTTTTTCCAAAAACAGTATTTTCCGTTGAGAAAGTGAATATTCCTCGGAGCCTATACGCTGTTCATTGAAAATCTTATCATTCCTAACAACAACGAAACCGGTTCAGTAAAGAAAGCCTTTATTTGACCGTCACAATTTGGCAGTCAGTTAAACATGCCAGTAAAACTTCTGAATATGCTGACCCTAAGAAAACTTGATCTCACCGCATGCAGAATGAAAATCTGCTAAAACTGAACTACATCGGCAGCGACTATTTTCCCCCGATGCAGAAATTCTGTATCCTGTGCAGTGGTTAAAATAGGCCTAAAATGTACTGAATTCAGCTACCATGCAGAAATTCTGCACGCGGTAAAATCCGTGAAAATCTACAGAAACTGGACTACATCAGCAGCGACTATTTTCTCCCGATGCAGAAATTCCGCATCATGTTCAGTCGTTAAAATAGGCCTAAAATGTACTGAATTCAGCTACCATGCAGAAATTCTGCACGCGGTAAAATCCGTAAAAATCTACAGAAACTGGACTACATCAGCAGCGACAATTTTCCCCCGATGCAGAAATTCTGCATCATGTTCAGTCGTTAAAATAGGCCTAAAATGTACTGAATTCAGCTACCATGCAGAAATTCTGCACGCGGTAAAATCCGTAAAAATCTACAGAAACTGGACTACATCAGCAGCGACTATTTTCCCCCGATGCAGAAATTCTGCATCATGTTCAGTCGTTAAAATAGGCCTAAAATGTACTGAATTCAGCTACCATGCAGAAATTCTGCACGCGGTAAAATCCGTGAAAATTACTTAATTCAGCTACGGATGCAGAAATTCTGCACGCGGTAAAATCCGTGAAAATCTACAGAAACTGGACTACATCAGCAGCGACTATTTTCCTCCGATGCAGAAACCAAGTTCAGTGGCTAAAACAGGCCTAAAAATGACTGAATTCAGCTGCTGACATCGCCAGAAACTAGACTAAATAAGCAGTATTCGTAAAAGACATTGCCCAATAGTTCAAATAGACTTCAGTTTACTGGAAATGGTGATGCGATTTTTTTTTTCTAAATGCATGGTTGCGTCGCCAGCGCATGGTGAAAATCACGGGTAGCCACCCTCGCGCACGTGATACGATGGCTACAGCTGAAAATAACTAAAAAAATCGTTCAAAATTTAATGACTTGATTCCCTGGCATCAAAATCACACGGGGTTTGTCAATAACTAGTGCAGCGGCGACAATTCTCGAAAACATGGCATCATAACCGTAGCTGCGGCTAAATATTGAATACTCCATAAAATTAATCTAACCGCTATTGCACCATGCATACAGTTGTTAGTTGAAACCAAAAAACCTTCAAAATATTATATATCTACTTTTTACTAATGCATGGTTGAAGTGAAAAAGATAAGCAAACGCAATACTTAACAACCAGATAGTTAGGTGTTTTCAAAGCCCAATGCGGTTTGAGAATACAGCCAGGTGTTATCAACACAGAATTGGATGAGTGTCCCATGATAAGATCATTCAAAATCTTCTCAGTTATTTCTTTGTAACTGTTCAGTCTCGAAGAAAATACTTGGTTTAACCATTCAGATAAAGCCTCTTCAGTAGAACTTTCACATGGTGCTTTATAGTGTTTAGTATTTCACAAAAAATGAATTAGATTTTTTCTCCTATATTTACATGGGCACTGGGAGTGAAGGTTTTAACAGTGTGCATCCTGGTGATTATGAATTATTTGTACTATTCCTCAGTGAGGAATACTTTTCCATTAAGTGCCTTCTTGTAGTCACCTGCAGCTTCTTTGCTTCAGTAAGTTCAAAGAAGTGGAGAATAATACACTCCTTTGGAAGAACTTCTGTCCAAGGTTCCCTTGTTCTTGGAAGGCTTAAAGGTGACCACTTTCCTCTGTATGTGCCTTTCCAGTAATGGATTTTGAAATGATCCTCACTGATCTCTTTTAAAACACCAATCACTGGCTCCTCTTCACAGTTTGACAAGAAAACTGCTGCATATGTTTCAATTTGAAGCCCTTCGTAGAAAGAGTCAACACGTTCAACAGGATTTTCTCTGTTGCTGGGGGCAACATACCTTCCAGTGTAAATCTGAAAAAGGATACAGTTTAATCAGAAAAGGTTAATTAAGGTTACCGTGTACGTTCAGAGGGAAAAAAATCGATTTTCGTTTTTTAAGTTGGAAATAAACTTTGCAGCAAGATCTTTCAAAAGAGTGAATATTTGCCGAGAAATTGGGATGTAAGCGATTTCCACCGGAAGTTAAACTCCACTTTGATTGACAGCATAAGGTAATCATGCGGTCACGATGGTTCACCGGTACTGGTGTTTCCGCCGCTCTTTCTGCTGATGATTTGTAGCCCGCCTTTGTCGCTTCGGCTTGGGCCCAACAGCTTTGCTTGATGAGGTCTTTCCTCGTTTAGTTTTTTTCACGATGATTATGTATACAAAATGCAATATCGACGGAAAATAAAAACCGCAAATATCCAACAAAATGGCGAAGGAATTGATTACTCTGTAACGGGAGTACGTGCAAAATTGCGAGAAAATCATCACAGCAGGTAACCGGAAGAAAAAGGGCCTTGCGAAACAATTGCCTAATTTCCCGTAAAGGCGTTAGGGGGCGGTACTTGTTTCTGTAGCGATAATTTTTTTGAGCGCTCTTTTCTCGAACTTTAATTTTCGCTTCAAGGAGACACTTTCAAGAGTTACAACTCAACAACGATTTGGCCGATTTCGGTAAAATTTGGCCAGATGCTAGAAAGGTATGTAATCAACAGAGACGTGTCGGGGAATTCGATAATTCTTAAAACTCTTTCCTTGACAGCCATTTCCGTGCGTTCACTCCGCATGTTTTTCTTGCAGTTTTCAAAATGTTCCGTAACTTTTGAACGCAATCGAATTAAGGAAAACACTGACACGTTTTTTTTAACCTTTGAGATGCTGACCGTGAGAAAAAAAAAAAACTTCCAAAATGTAAAAATCGCATTGAGTTGGAACTGTAGAAAGACGATCTGTGCCTTCAAGTTTAGACTACGCGGAAAACTTAGGAATTTATTTTCTTGAAAAAGCAATGAAATATTTGAATACCCAGTTCCATAAGCTTTAATTTGATATAGGGTTTTGGGTATCTGTGATGTAACCGAGAGGCGCTACACCCGTTAAACTGGAGCCACCCCTTAAGGTACACTGTAACCTTAAAGAACTGACGAACTCAGATATGAGAGAATGTTTAACTTAAAGAGCTGCCAAGTCGTAACATGTGAACCCTTAGAAAGTAGACTTATAACAGAAAATTCACCAACTCAGACAATTTCAACTTGCCTGTTTTGTTGGCCGACATTCCTTGTCCTGTAGAGCTTGCAGGTGTTCAGGGACAGATTGATCAACCGTATATGGCTTTATTTTCTCTGCGATCAGAATAGCATTCAAAGGCCACTCCCATGCCTCTGGCACAGCAGCCAAATTGTCTACGTTATTCACCCACTCACTCCAAAATGAGAACGCCTGTTCAGGGTAGTGATCTCTGAACTTGTTAAGGTCACGCTTCAAACCTTCAACATCAATTCTGTCTAACACAGGTCTCACAAGACTTGGTTTGCCACCTGGATGACTCTAGTGTAAGAACAAAGGTTTTACGATGAACAATTAACAGTGCAATGCATTAATTAAAAGATCACTTTAGTATTATGATCTGTAAGATGCAGACAAATGATAAAAGGTTGTAACTGCACCTTCAAAATAATCACAGGACCTTCCCATGGCATGTGCGAGTAGTTTCGATAAAACATTTGGCACTTCCCAGCAGCATTTCTGACAAATTTGAAGCACTTTGGCTGAGTATGGTCATGCAGTTGCTCTGCATGAGGTGCCAGCCACTCTTTTATGTTGTACACAGCATCCAACAGAAAAGGAAGGACTTTGACATTCTGTATGCAATTTTTCATTGCCTCTTGCATTTCTATGGGAGAGAAGAAAAGAAAATTGCAAATGTTATCTCAGTAAATAGTATTAATATTAATAAATAATTATAATTGCAACAATCTATCTCTTATTTCATGTGAATGGGTTATTGGTATTATGTCCCAAGTGACTTATGATCTCATATGAAATTATCCCTTTATTTACGAGCATACACAAAGGTAACTGAAAGATGAATCCAGCAGTTTATCTGAAATTACTTGATGCTTCAATCCAGGCACCCCTTTGTTTAGTTCAAACATGCGTGTAAGAACCTAGCGGTTTAAGAACCTGCTGGCAGAAATTTCCCATTTTATACCCAAAAATATAAGAACCTGTTTAGCCAAGCAAAATTTATTAGGTTCTTATACGTGACTTATGGAATATTTTCATAAGCATTTTTCACTATGAAGTATAACTGATTTTGAGAAATAGGGAATACTTCATGGGAAGTACGCGCGTACGGTTTATAGTGTATAATTATAATTATTTAGTCAGTCTTGCACACGGCTCATGACAAGACAGTTATAAATAAATGCTGTATCATAAAGGACCAAACCTACTTTTTCTGCTTGTACATGAATGGTTCCTACTAAAAACTTAAGAACCTAATTAAGAACCTACTTTAGCCTAAATTTTGCCAATAACTTTCCCCAAATATAAGAACCTGTTTTGCCAAACTTGGAAAAATGAAGGTTACTGTATTACAAGAGATATGTACACCTACCATCCATTGTGTAAACATCATTTAGATCCAGGTGCTTCGAATATACCCCAAAAAAAGCATCAATCTCTTCATGGGTGTGCCCCACAGGAAGGAAGTTTAACTTGATCTAAGGGATTGCAAAAAATGCACACAAGTAGGGAAAAAGTTAAGACAACTAAATTTTACAACTTGGTGACCACTGAGACAGTTTCCATTACAAAGATAATAGTCAGTGTTGATCTACAAATACTCTAGTTCCTTGCTTTTACTTCAGCTGTCATGATTACAACACTTGCATTTTTCAAAGGCCTTCTTTTACTGTAGGTGCTTATTATAAGAGGGAAATTTGCACTTAGAAAACAGATGCGCTTACAAATTTGCATTAGGAATTTTTCAGTGACTTTGTGATAATGATAATATTGGGACATCAACTCCTAACACAACAGCAAAAGTCTTCAATGAAAATGAAATATATTACACATGAAAATATCACAACATGCATAGGCACAAAACTTGACACAAGTTTCTGGCGCATTTTATGATTTTGTATTCCATGAGGACTAACCTTATCAAACACAATTAGCTCCACCAGAAGAGCAAACAGCCACATCATGTACTGGTTCTTATTTTCCTTCACACAGTTGTCAAGTTGAAGGTAAAAGATGGGAGGCAATTTGTAGAACTGGCACCACTTTGCAATCATGTTTAGAAGAACTGAAGCGGTCAAATTTGGGTCATGGGGCCACTGGTAGAAATCAAAAGAGCCATAAATGTCTTTACCAGACGTAGATTGCCCAGAGTGGAGAATTGCCCCAACAAGGTGTGTGCCAACATAAGTCAAATTACATGTCGCTTTAGTTTTACGACGGACCCTGGGAATGTTTGTTGTTTTTTGATCCATTCCATCATCAATCACTATCAAGTACTTGTCTGGGAACCTTCTTGCCTTGTATCGATGCTTGTAGTACACCCTTCTCTCTTGCCTGTCAAAAATGTAGACAATAATAATTATTATACTTATGAGAAAAAAGCAAATAATTGACACTGTATTATTGAGCATGAAATTTCACTTATGTATAATCCAGGCATGCCAAAGTCATGTTGGATTAAAAATAAACCATTCAGGCTGATTGTCTGGTAAAATGTTATAACTTATTGCACTCTTCTGTACATGCACTAGCCTATTGCCAATCACACCCAAAAGAACATGCATGAGTATTTTCAATCAATTGATCAGCTCTCAATAATTGTTGAAACTAACCAGTTCATGGTGGCTTATGACCATTTCATGGCATCTCACATTTCAAAACTTGAGATTCAGATTGCACGTGATGCTTACATAGGTTTGCAGTAACATTTTAAACTACCAGATTTACACTCAGGTTAAACAAGCGGGCGTGCGACTCAAAAAATAATTATGTCATTGCAAACATTGGATGTTACCACCGCACTTTTCATTACATCTGGAGTCCGACCTCAAACAAAACCCCTGCTTACAGAGTACATTTAACTTAAGTCACACATACAACTACAGTCAACCTCATGCAATGCAAGCACTTACCATACTAGTTCTAAATGCTTGTTCAAGAGTGCATCCACCTCACTTCGAACCTTCTTGTCCATTGTTCTCTCCTTCTGCTCCTTGTACTTTGTACAGTCTGTGCATTTTGTAAAGCGGTTTTCCTGTTTAAAGATCACACATCAAGTCATATACTTAATAAGCAGAATAATACTTGCAACAAAGCTTTAGTATCGGAGCCAATAATAATTGGTCCTGATACCTATTAATACATATTTTATGTTTGTGTCCTCAGTCCACAGTGTTTTGTTGTTATCTCATTTGAACTTGAAAATGACATCATTATTACACTGAAATATTGTAAGTTCATTTCTATTGCTTATTTTCACAAAACCTTTTTGTCCTAAATACCTGAAGTTTTAATCTGTTTCCCACAATATTGCAGTAATGTATCAATATTATTGACATACACTGTATTATTGAATGCAGAACTAACCTTTGGAATTGTCACATTTGGGAAGTAAGTGTGAAATATATGGTAAAACTGTGAAAGACCAACTGATACCATGCCAAAACCATTGTTTTCTTCAACCATTTGGTTATAAATTGATGATAATGAAAAACAAGAAGGTATGTGGATTACAGATAGATCTGGCTGGTGCTGCCCAACAGAATCCACAAAGAACTCCAACCACGCAATGCAATCTTTAGTTTTAGTTAATTGTACTGTTGATCAGTTACTGCTTGAATTGGAAAGTCTTGATCATGAACCAATTGAATGGAAAGGTATCATTACCGTTTTTATCCTTTGCTTCAATTCCATGATCATCACCACCAGAGCAGTGGCTAAGGTCGAACACTTCAAATGAATCTTCGTGACTATCTGTGGAAATGATTAAGACTCTGTCCGTTATAACCTGCGATCAGGCGTACTTCAATATTTGAGATGCCAATAAAGATGCTATAAAAATAAATAAATATGAGGAATTCAAAATGGACTTTGAGAAATTCTAGTTTTCCAGCAGCAGCTACTCAACTATCGTTTTGCAAGAACTGTGTCACTAAACCATTGTTCAGATTGCTCAGCGCTTTCGTAAACAATGCCGAATTTCTCTGACAAGCTCGGCTGATTCCCCGAATATAGCAGCATTAAAGTTCTGTTCGGTTCTTTTTGGATTCACAACTTGTTGCTTCCGAATCCTTCCGAATACATTCCAAAGGACTCACCATATCACAAACGTTTCCGAGTCGATGGAAGTGGTACGATACATTTTTTCTATAATGTTCGGGTATTGCCAAATTCCGATGGAAGTTACAACTATAATGTCTTCTTTTAGACAAACCATTCTTTGGATGCATTCTCTCTGCCGTTCCTTTAAAGACTTTTTGGAAAAAAATCTGAAGTCGAAGCAACAGCAGCTGTAAACAGAGCCTAAACATCACTCCTCTTCGAATCCTTCTCGGCAGACATAATTGGATCAGCTGAACTGGACTGCAGGCAGATGACTCGTCAAGAAAATTGTATCAGGCGTACATTTCCGCCCTCTCTAAAGAAAAGTACGCCTGGCCCGGGTTGCTCGAAGCATGGTTAGTGCTAACCAGCGCTAAATAGCATGGAAACCTATACATTTTGATACCTCTTAACCAACGGTTAGCGCTAACCAGGCTTCGAGCAACCGGCCCCAGATCGCAGGTTATGTCCGTTAACTTTTGTTCACGTGGCGCGATGATTATGACTTTCCCCAGGAGCGCGCAGTAATTACCTGTAGCTGCCTGGAGCAATATTTCAATCTTCTCTTCCTGAGAACGACGTTTATCGTTTATCCTTAAAAGAGCCATCTTAAGTTGAATTATAGAAGGTTTTTAAGAGGGCGGGGAATTTGTTGGTGCATCATCATCATGACTGGTTAGTCCATAAAGTCCATTCAAAATTAAAAACATGCATGCACCACGGTTTTCTTCTTGATTGTCGGAATACAAGCTGGCATTAACGTTCCAGTCCGCGGGTTGCCTGAACTAAATAGGGCTAGATTGCAAAATACCCGGTACACCAAATGTCTTACTTAAAAAACTGCTACCGCATTCTCGCAGTCTTGAAGTGAAGTGAAGTGAAATTATTAGTCTCTCCCCTCGGGGCTTTTCAAGACTAATTTATTGCTGTCACGCAGTTTACAATTAATTAAGAAGGTAACAGATGCCCCTCGTTCTTTAGGGACGGACCATTAGAAAACTTATGGGGGGGGCGGGCGAAGTACAAAAAAAATATTCGCGCAAGGGAAAATTAAATGAAAAAAAATTCATGCACGCCAATTAACCCTAAAAAATATTCATGCAACGGCCTAAATAAAATTCATGCAAAGAATTTGGTAACGAAAAAAAATTCTTGCAGCTCGAAAATTCCCCTCCCCCCCCCATAACTTTTCTAATGGTCCGTCCCTTAATAGAGGTGTATGACATGTTGAGTGTCCTTAACTGAACCACAAAATGAAAGCTAAAATTTTACGAGAATGCTTAAGCCTAATCACTGAAGCGAGCGCTTAGGCTTAATCAGTAAACGAGTGCTTTCTTCTTCACACGAACTCGTGGAAAGTGTCGTTAACTGAACCACAGAATGAAAGCTAAAATTCTTACGACGCAGTGGCATGGGACAGAAAATGATACATATAAACAATTCTGTTCCTAAACGGGGTATTCTGCAATCACTGCTAAGCTTTCATTTCGCGGTTCGGTTAACTACACTTTTCATGAGATCGTCTGAAGAAGAAAGCACTCGTCTACTCATTAAGCCTAAGCGCTCGCTTCAGTGATTAGGCTTAAGCATTCTCGTAAAATTTTAGCTTTCATTTTGTGGTTCAGTTAAGGACACTCAACGTGTGATACACCTCCTTCTTTAATCCACAAATCCTAAAAACGCCACTTAAAAACTGGCCGTTATTTTCAATTATTATTTAACTACTACGTGACTTCGGACCCCGGTCACAACCATTTTACTCTTCGGAGTTATCAAATATCCAGTCATCGACCACGGGACTGCGGACCGCGGTGGCAGTTCATTTTTTGCTTGCCCTTTCAACAGTTTTCATTCATCGACTACGGGACTGCGGACCGCGGTGGCAGTTAGAACACTTTAGAACACCTTATTTATAGGGTGCATAATTACAGTAGAAAAACTGTATTCTCCCTTATGGCCATGTTAAACTAAATACCCTAATAACTAAAATACTAAATTAATAAATTACTCAAATACTAAAATACCCCAATACTCAAATACTATAATATTCAAATACTAAAGTACAGTTCATTTTAATGCTTTCCCTTTAACAATTTCCATTCATCGACTATGGGACTGCGGACCGCGATGGCAGTTCATTTTAACACTTTTCATTCATCGACTACTGGACTGCGGACCGCGGTGGCAGCTTTTTTAAGTAGGGCGTTTGCTGGGCCGGGGATTCTGCAATCATAAATAGTAAGCTCATCTGCTGGCATTAACGGTTGGGGAATATCTTGCGTGTTGTCCTCGTCTCCGAGCGAAGGGTGTCTACATGCTCTTTACGGTAGTGGCGTTTTGCAATTACGCTTACCATTTGATACACTCACCGTTGTCATTTATTCCAGCCGCAGCGCAATGGTCCCCACCTCGACGCCTCTTGATAGGGGTACTTTGAAAGATAGTATCTCCTTTACGTTGACATAAAGCTTCAAGAAATTCTTTTTCCTCACTTATCCGTTTGTCGCTCATAATCACGGTTAATGGCTGAAATGTGCCTTGTACGTATTCCGCATGTTATCTGTCACTGAAAGTGCATCGGATGGTCTGTAGTAAATCAAAGTTGTCGATTATTCGCGTATACCTCGTGCATGGGAACGGTTTCGATTAAACACAGTAACGTAAAATGACGTGTCTATGACGTGTCTCAAAATCATTGGACTATTTCCACGAAACTCTCAACGTTCTTTGTCTCTCTTTATCCCTGTGATTTGTTAAATTCTATTACCCTCAAACACTTTTCAGATGTACCGGCTAGAATATTTTGACACATTAATTCGTTTCCGGTTCTTACAACTTGTCGCACATCCGAAGAAGCTTCGTTTTTAACGTTTCCTGCCTTTACTCGCAAAATGGGCCTCTGGACGATCCAATTAGCAAAACCCGGGGACAAGCCAAAAGTGTTTCGCGATGGTTCGCCCCTAAAAAAGAGTGATGGACAGCGTTATGGTACAGTGGTAAACGTGTCATCCTCTGTCCAAGCAGGGAGTAATAAGCTCTTCGTCAAGGTGAGACTTTAAAATTTATCTTTTCCGCTTACAATAATCCCTACTCTAGTTCGATTAATTTTACATGACTATTGTCTTGGGTTTCGAGAAATTGTTGGCTGGAAATTCTTTCCAAGTTTGAGTTCCAAATACCACCACAATCTATTCATTTCCGTTAGCAATGACAGAAAAGTCTCGGTTTAAGATCATCCGGCTATTGTTTACACGTGTCGCGAGAAGCTAGCTTTTGAAGAACGAGGCATACAACAATGGAGATTGTTGTTATCCAGTGGTATGTAACTGAAATAGCTGGGTATTCGGAAATTCTAGCCTATCGACAAAGATTTGTTTAAATTACGTTTAACTGTCTTTGAAAGTCACTCACTAGAAAACTTAACAAAACGTGCTGTATTTGTTTTTTACCTGGTGAGATGTTCATTCAGGTTGAGATGTTGGTCAAATTTGCTATGCTTTGTTTTTAAACAGCATACTTTGTAGGTATACCTCGTCACACATAGATTCCTTTTAAAGAACTCAGCAAAATGAATCCTTATTGATTTTGGATATAAATATTTTGAAGATTTGAAAATCGTGGCTACAAATTTGGCAGTCTGTAGAGGTATGCGAATTTATGAGCTACTATATGTGTCGCATTTGTGCAACGCACTGAATTTACGCAAGTTAATTGCCAACGAGTCACCCTCGCGAGGACGCGAGGGTGACGAGGCGGCAGCATCATAAATCCGACGCGCGAGTTAGTTTTGGTACAGGGAGAAAAAATCTCGAATCAAAATGTAAGCATAAGGTAATGTAAGAGTGACATCATCGGTCATTGTTTTCGAGCTAGCCAATGGCATCGTGGTATTTTTTAATCTAAACCAATCACATCAGGACGATCATGACCGGTGACCACATGACCAACATCAGATGACCACATTAACCTCGTGGGCATTTTCTGGTGTATCCCGGCATCTCCTGTTCGTGTTGGGCATCGTGCGACTTGCGAGGTGATCAATTACCAGGCAGGAAAAGGTGAGTGGAAATATTGATTTTATTCACTCGTGAGCGTTGTCTTCTTGGGTGCATTTTAATTAAGTGTTTTTGGATCCGGGGTCGCAAATCTAGCAACTAGCAGACTGAAAAATCGCCCAGCGAGGCTAAAATCGCCCAGCGAGGCAGTTATCGAGAGCAGCTCGAAAACGGCGAGTGACAGTGTCACAGTCACGGCGAGCTTGCCAAAACAGTCAATTGTCTTGACCAGATCGGCCAGCGTGCCATTTAAGAAACAAAAAACAAAACCACTTGAATATATTCACTATAAACTCAATCAGAGGGCGTATAAAGCCTCTTTTTATCGAGCTAGTGTGCTCAGTGCTCAAAATTACAAATTTTGATCGACCAACGAGACACGAGTCACATGGCGTGTCGCTGTTAGTTGTGCGCTTTTTTTCTGCTTATCCATTAGCGTGTCCGAAAGTGAAAAACAGTCTAAGCTCTGTTTGCCGGGAAGCCACTATCAGTCAAGCTTGAGGGAGCTTAGCAAATCAGTTTGGATAGTTTTTTTATTCCAAAATTGTAGGGTGCTTAGCTTCGTTTGAAATCAGAACTGCTCAGGTCCAAAGTACACTTGCTGAAGCGCGTGCACTGAAGTAACAGCTCACGAGAATTTATGATGCTTCGTCTATTGTGTGTGTTATTAGTCGTAAGTCATTATCAGGGCCATAGTGGTGAGACTAATTTCAATTTTCCACGTGGATATCAAAATGTAACCATTTTCAGATTCCGAGGAAGATATTTGTCTAGACGTATACCTTATCCTTCTAATGGTAGTTTTAATCCCTTTGCAATTTCTAATAAAAAAGCACACATATTAAATGGAAACATAAATAACTTGGAAGCTGCAAAAATGTGTGAGGAAAACAGCTATTCATTTGGTAGAGATCACTTCAGTAATTATTGTTTAAACAATGCAGGTAAATTTTCCTGTGCAGTTGATTGTTTTCTCGAGCTGTGTTATGGTGTTTTTGTAATCATCTTCATAGCACTACACGAAATGAGTTTTTGACGTTATCTATGAGTCATGTAATCAAAGAGAAAACCTTGGGGCTATTGACATTGTGCGAGAACCTGTGTGGTTATGGCTCAGAGATCATTGTTCATCATTTTCTGCAATGACTGCCAATGCTGTTTTTAGTGACATATTTACATTGAATACTGTCGGAGAGTTAAGTGAGGACCTCAAGTCATTGTTTGTTGTTCAGCAATGCAATCAGTCGTGTTGCGCATCATGTGGCAACCAAATCATATATAAGACAGGTATATTTGTTCTTTACATTACCTGCCCAAATATCATTTCCACGCAATTTGCAAATCATGTTTCAGAAGCTGTTCTTCCTCACAGTAGGGCTCTTTATTGTGAATCTTGCCAAAAACACAGTGGTGATGTTTCTGCATTGCGACATTTTGTAACACTTCCCACATTTTTAACTATTGAATTGTCATCCAATTGTATTGATCAAATTACATTTCCTTTAACTATGGACGTTTTAGAAAATTATTATTCACTGAAAGCTGTTGTGCGTTCTGCAAGTCAACATTTTACTATCGCTATAAATAAAGGAACACATTGGTTGTATTTTGATGATATCTGCAGATCAATTCAGCAATATTCCACTTTTCAAAACCTCTTGATTGCCCATGCCAATGGCTGGTATTTTGCTGTCTATGAAAAGTCTGCCATTCCATTCATTGATAGCGGTAATGCACATGCAGCTGTGAACCAATCTAAGTACACCCAAGAATACCTCACAGGACATTCAGTGCCAAAAGTACTCATTAATGATACTTTAACAGTGCCATCAAACAAACACATTGCACAAGCAAAACAAAATGCATACATGAAAGAATATCGAAAGAAAAGAAAAAGTAATGAAACTGCAGAAGAACAACTTGCCAAAAAACAAAAGCAAAATGCTTACATGAAAGAGTACAGAAGGAGAAAGAAAAATAATGAATCTCAAAGTGAGACGCTTGCTAGACAAGGAAAGCAAAATATATACATGAGGGAATACAACAGGAGAAAGAAAAACATTGAAACTGATACCAAAAATTTGCAACGGAAGAAAAACAAAATACAAACATGAAGGAAAATCATGAAAAAAGTGAAAAACAACTTGGCCTAAAACAGAAGAAAAATGCTTACATGAAAGAGTACAGAAGGAGAAAGAAAAACAATGAATTTCATAGTGAGAAACTTACTACACGACGAAAGCAAAATATATACATGAAGGAATACAACAACAGAAAGAAAGACGTTGCAACTGGTAGCAAAACAATTTCAAGAGAAGAAGAACAAAATACAGTAATGAAAGAAGATCATGCAAAAAGTGTTCATGGTGATTTTAAAATGCAAGCAAAACTTATTAGAGAAGAAAAACAAAATACAGACATCATGGAAAATCATGCAAAAAGTGTTAACAGTGATTTTAAAATGCAAGCAGATCAAAATGTATTTAAATGTTTTGTGGAGAAGGAAAAATATTTGTCTTTGTTTGATAGTCAAACAAATGGACCAATTCATTTACAGGAATGGGCTAAAAAAAAAACATGCGAGATTTCCATAATTCTTTGAAATTCAAAATCTATAAATGCAACATCTGCCATGAAGCATGGCCATTGTCAGAAAAATGTAAAGATGAATCTACATATGTGTGCTCTAGGTGTTTGCGTGACAAGAATGCAACAAAAAGTTTTCAGTTGACAATAATATGATACCTTCACAAGCACCAAAAGAACTGCAGGGACTCACGCAATTAGAAGAAATGCTTATAGCACGTGTTTTCAGTAATATCTGTTTATACAAAACCAGGGGGGCAAAAGGCATACAAAGGCCACTGTATTAATTTTTCCCAAGATATTCAAGAGCTAGCTAACTCATTGCCAAGGTATCCGAGGGAGCTGCCTGTGATAGTTGTGTCAGTCAAAGGCAAAGATAATACTTATAAAGATCTTACAGTAAGGCGGGAAAAAGTGAGCTGTGCTCTACACTGGTTAGTCCAGCATAACCCTGTATACAAAAATATTACTATAGATTATGACTGCTTGTCTTCCTTGCCATCTGAAGGCATCCCAAGTGAACTGCATCAGATTGATTGTATTGAGAATACTAAAGATAAGGAAATGGATCCAGACAGAGGTCCACTTGATGTCAATGAAATACCATTCAATGAAGAGACAGAATTAAGCAGCACAATCCTTAATCCAGTAACCTTAAAGCCTCAAAAGCAACTTATTACAGATCAGTTATTGCAAAAGCATAAATTAAATTGGCCACACAGAGACGCAAGCCCTCTGAATGAATTTAAGATCAATTTCTAGCAACAATGGCATTTCCCACCCTATTTCCTGATGCTAAAGGAGACCCTACAAACACTGCTATAAAGCGGGGTGCAACTTTAGGAGAGAAAATAAAGCATCTAATTAAATTTGCTGAATATTCTAATGATGAGTGGACTTATAGGTTTGCAAGCCATCCACGATTTGCATATTGGGCTTTTAATATGATTCAGAGGCATAGACTTCTTAGTCAAGGGAGTATTTTTTTTTTGAAACAAAACCCTAGCGATGCAAAACTAACTGTGGAACAACTTAAACAGATGCTTCAGTCAAATAATCATTCAACTTTAATGTCTAAACTTATGCATTATGCTAAAAAATATAACTGGTAGCAATAGCTATTGGCACAAAGCAAAAAGAGGATTTAAGGGCTACCGTTGCTCAAGTAGGACCTCCTACAATTTTTTTACCTTGTCTTGTGCAGAGTACCATTGGCCAGAATTTCATAATCTTCTAAGTAATGACCACTGTGGAGATATCACACCAAAATTGAGACAGAAACATGTTATTGACAATCCACATCTCATTGACTGGTTTTTCACTGAGCGAACTGATCGGTTTGTGAAGTTTTGGCTGAATAAATCATTACAGGCATCTTGGTATTGGTACCGATATGAATATGCTGTTCAGAGGGGATCGATTCATTGTCACGGAGTTGCAAAATTGCAGAATGATCCAGGGCTTTGTGAACTTACAGCAGTTGCACTGCAGGGGTTTTTGGCATCAAAATATATCAAAGAACACCAAGCAAATATATCAATTGAAGAACTACAAGAACTGAAAAATAAGGAGAAAAGGGGGAAAATGCTGAGGCAACTGTTTGCCAATATGTCAATTTTTATTAACGACATGGAATCCTTGTTCTCCAGATGAAGGTTGGTCCAAGCCAAATTCTCATCCATGTCAAACACCATATCTTTCCTTAAAAGAAGAGAAAATGGAAGATGACTATGTGAATCTATTGAATTCTGTTCAAAGGCATACGTTGTGTAGTACTAAGTATTGCCTTAGGAAAAAAAGACAGTTGCGAATTATGCTGCAGGTTTAATTTTCCATTTGATAACTGTAAAAAAAACAAGGATAGATTTTGAACCTGTCCATACAAAATCAGGTCAACCAAAGTATAAAGCAGTTATTGTTACTAAACGAAATGACTCAAGATTAAATCGTCATCAACCATTGCAGCTTCAAGGATGGAGGGCAAATTGTGATATCCAAATTATTGTGGATTACCAGGCATGTTTAGAATATCTTGTTAAGTACACATCCAAAGGGAAAAAGCATCTTCCGTTGTTAATAATGCATTCACCACTATTGTTCAGAAGCTTTTCAGACACAAGTGACATTCATAACACATTTAAGCAGATAATGATCAAATCTGTAGGACAAAGGGACTATTCAATTCAAGAGGTCATGCATCATTTACTCTCTCTTAAGTGTGTAAGTGCTACTTATGAAGTAATAAATGCATCTCTAGATGGCTCAAGAAGAATTCAAATTGTAAGAGATAAGGAATATTGTACTGCCCCATCCATGCTCGATATATATGCTGAGCGAAGGAAATACATGAAAACATTTCCAAGTATACTAGAATGCAACTTTGTACAGTTTACATCTACATATATTAATAAAGGTTCAAAACTAGAGAAAAGAAAACGACCAGTAATTGTTAAAACATATCCAAACTATTCATCAAATCCTCAAAATCAGCATTATGGGCTTTTTTGTAAATATCAACTACTTAAGTATAAACCTTGGGAGCATACACCAGATGATGCCTGGAGTAATGCTGAACACTGTAATGAAACATTCAAAACATGTTGGATGAATTTTCTCTGTAGTAACAATGGAAAGGCTGTAGTTCCTGACTGGGAAATCAAGTTACAAGCCTTAAAGGAATCTATTAAGCTAGAAACTGACAATTTTACAACAGAAAATGATGAAGAAGAGGAAAAGGAAGAATGGATGTTAATGTCTGAGTTGAATATTCAAAACATTACTAATGATGCACAAAGTTCTGTCTTAGCTCCTGAGGGATATTGGCACAATGTTACTGAACACTTTGATGAAGAGCAACTAAATTCTGTAGTATCTTGGTTAGCGAATCAAAAATCTATGAATAATCCTCAGTGGCAAATGCCAACAAGGATAGTAGATATTTCAAGCTTTAGTACAAACCAAAGATTGGCATACAACGTAGTTTGTGATCACTTTAACAGAAGTGACAAAGAACCTATACTTCTCTAATTAAAGGTATTGCAGGGTCAGGGAAAAGCTATCTCATTGACGCCATTAGAAATGTACTCCAAACACAATGCAAGGTGCTAGCGTACACTGGAAAAGCATCTTTTAATGTGAATGGTGTAACTTTGCATTCATTTCTCAAATTGCCAATTGGCTCAAAAAAGACTCACTGAACTAAAAGGAATAGCACTACAACAGCTTCAAAGTAATGTAGAAAATCTTCGGTATTTGATAATAGATGAATACTCTTTGGTTGGTCAGAGTTTGCTTGGCTGGATAGATTCTAGATGCCGACAAGCTACAGGCCTGGCAAATCAGAGTTTTGGTGGTCTTTCGGTTATTGTTGTGGGTGATATAGCACAGTTACCCCCTGTTGGTGATAAACCACTTTACCATTCAATGCCCAAAACAGATAAGCAGATTCAGGGTCATCTCATGTATCAACAGTTTAACAAAGTAGTTGCATTGACAGTTAACCACAGAGTTGATGGTAACAGTAGTGAGCAGCACCTTTTTAGGGATCTTCTTCTCAGAGCACGTAATGGTGAATCCACACCAGCTGATTGGCATACATTACTGTCAAGAACTCCAGACCGTGTATCAAATATCCAGGAATTTGAAATGTCATCAATAAGACTATCCTATCTCAAGTCTAGTGTTGCAGAGATAAACATAGCCAAGTTAAAAGCTCTTAATCAACCAATAGCAACTATAAAAGCTCGTCACTCTGGTGGTGCTCAGAACCTTAGCTCAGATGAAATGGGAGGCCTAGAGCCTGTGATTTACTTAGCAAAAGGAGCGAGAGTAATGCTCACTATGAACATCTGGACTGAAGTTGGACTTTGTAATGGAGCCCTAGGGACAGTATTAGATTTTGTTTATCCACATGACCAGACTCCCCCGACGCTACCAATTTGTGTTCTTGTACAGTTTGACGACGATTATAATGGCCCTACTCTTTCTGCTAGATTTCCAAGATGTGTTCCAATTTGTCCAATAACACAGGTTTCTCAAAACCTAGGTCAAAAATGTGAAAGACAGCAATTACCCCTAAAAGTTAGCATGGGCAATCACTATACACAAGAGTCAAGGTTTAACGCTAAAGAAAGCCTGGGTTGATCTTGGTCCTTCAGAAAAATCTTCAGGAATGACATATGTTGCACTAAGTAGAGTTAAGAAACTTGAAGACCTAATGGTAGAACCCATGACCCTGGATAGACTGCAAGCACCCAAAAAAAATGTGCAATTTAAATTACAGACTTAAAGAAGAAGAGCGGCTAGATGGTTTAGCCCAAGATACTTTGGACAGTTTATTGTAGAATCCTATTGCCCTAAATATATTAAACATCCAAACCAGATAAAACCACTTTTAACAATTAGAGTTTGATTAACCAGATGTGAGCCTTGATTCAAGATAATGTAAAGGATACAGATTTTAACTTGAAATAATGGCATAAATTGAGTGGAAAACTGCTACAATGTACATAACCTTTATTTAGAATTTTTATTTTTGTTACAGATTCTTTGTGGAAAGAATGTCAAAGCGTGAGCCAGACCTTAACTCGGGTAAGTATTATGATTATGGGGGAAGAACAGTAGATCAGAATGCAAGGAAAATGGTGAATAGGTACTAAACACAGAGACTACAGTGATTTGTTGCCTATTTAACATGAATCTTTTGATTTTTTCCTTAGAATCACTCTGTGGCTTTATACATAATTTAAGCCCTGTAAAACGCTCAAAGAGAACGGATTGGTTTGAGTTTCATCTGCAAACAAGTCCTTCAAAGTACAGCGAGTAGTTGGATTTAATATCCCAAGCCACTCAACCTTCAGTGGACATAACAAATCAAAAACCCCTGTGCTGCTGTCAAATACTAAGAAGAATGATTCGAACAAGGACATTATCTTCAACCAACAGTCAATTGTAAGGTCTGCACCAGCGTTCGACATTGACTTTGATTATTCTCCAGACATTGCTGCATCTGAGTCATCCTCCTCTTCAGTGCAACCTGCTACTACGATCACTCTGGAACAGGTACCAACTCTAAAGATAAACCAGAAGGTCAACGTCACAGCAACGATTTCATTGGGCAGTGAACAACCTAAGCCGGTTGAAGTGAAATCCACACAAAAGATGACGCTCGTCAAAGAGGATTGTGTCTTAGAAGATGAGACAGGTACAGCTGAAATTCACATTTGGGATGAGCTCATCAACAACGTGAAAAATGGGACAACATATGAATTCCAAAACCTGAACGTCAAGCACTTCAAAGGAAGCACCCACTTAGCAACGACACCAGCAACTACCTTCAAGGAAGCCAGCAAACAACTTAAGTCTGTGCAAGGGCCTACACTACTGGAAAACCCAGAAAAAGAAGTTAAAGTCGAGATGTTCAAGTTTCTTAACAACCTAAGCATATTCGTTGCTTGTCAAGCTTGTAAGAGGAAGATAACAGAGAGTGCCCATCAGAAGTACATAAAATGCAGGAACTGCGGAGTAAGGCAGCGTCAAGGCGAATGCAAGAGAGATGCATCTGTGCAAGTCAAAGTAGAAATAGCTGGAAAGGAAATATGGCTGACAGCGTTCACAAAAGAAATTGAAAGTCTTCTGGCTCTGTCTCCAGAGCTTTCCCTTATGAGTGACTCAGAATCTATTGAAGACCACCTTATGGACCTCAAGGATATCCACTTCACCTATAATGTGAACAAAAACACCATAACCCAGGTGACATCTCTTTCAAATGGACTGGCGCAATGACACTATGGAACGATTGATTAATGGGCTATCTTGGCATGAAACTACTTACTATGTAAACTACGTTCAAAGTTGCCTTCTAAAATCATGTTAAAACACGAACATGAAACATTTTAAAAAACAAAGAAATCATGTGAGATATGCATTTTTTATCTCTGTTACAAGTTCAGTTCTTAAAGACATTTCAAAAAACAAGGATTTGCATTTGGAATCTACTTTACAAGTTTCGTTTTTTTAAAAACATTCTAAAAGACGAAGAAAAGCATCTCAGATTTGCATTTGTAATTTACGTTACAAGTTTTGGTATTAAAGACATTTGACACATTTCAATTCATGCTCATTTGTCTCAGGTAATGCAAGGGCTACATATATTTCAGCTCTAATCTGCCTTACAAGTTTAGTTCTTACGGACATTCTAAACAACAAAGAATAGCATGTGCGTTTTGCAATGCTTTTTTAAACAATCATTCAATTTGAAAAAAATGTTCTGTAGTCTGGTTACTTCTTCATTTTCATTCGGCAAGCAACTGTCGCCGTTTTTACTCGTTGGCACTCTAGCGCCAGCTATTTCTAGTATATTTCATAAAAATTCTTTGACTTGGGCCATTTGTTCCCAAAAGAATAAAACGCAAACAGCGGTTACAAACAATTGTTTGAAATGCATAACTTTTATAAACTTAACGTTTCGTATGTTACTACATGCATCATGAGGAGATCGTGATCTTGATATTTGAACAAAATAAAGTAACGCAATAAATTTTGAATTACATTACGATTTCTTTATAGATATAAAGAAAAGCAACTCTTTAGAAGACCGCTTTGAGCTGTCCAGTTACAGTCTAAAAATCTACAACGTGAATGCTGGTAACCTGAGATGGTAACCGTCGTTACGCTTCTGTGAGTTCTGTCAGCATAGGCGCCAAAACCCACTGAACAGCCAATCACAAGCGCGGTTATATTGAAAAATACGTTGTCATGATTTATGCATTAGGTTCGGCACATGTGAAGTACGACGAATGAATCGAAGTCGATCTTTTGCCGTTCTATTCGACAAGCTCAGTCGAATAGAACGGCAGAGTCGACCCAAATACAAAAGTGCCGTTCGACGTTTGAACCGGGCCTAAGAACACAGAGTTCTAAGAACATTGAAAACACTGAAAACACAGAACTACCGAAACGGTGTAATAAGCTCCAGAAGGCTCAAGAATACACCAGAGGTGAGTCATTTTGATTCATTTTATTGAATGAAAGTTAAATTGAGCATTATTTAGGCTTTATAATCGACGGTATTTGATTTCCCATACAAAGTCTTATAACGCGTTTAACTTCTCAATGGCTGTCTGTAGTGACGCGAGCTTGGGCTGCCTATGTTGAAACTTGAATGTTGAATATGTTAAAACTCCGATCGATGTCTCATTGTGAAACACCAATGTGGCATCACACGCAACAATGCTGAATGATAAAAAACAGCAATGTGCAATTACGAAATTCAAACGTCGCATGGTGATAATGAAGGTTAAATGATAAACTTGAACATTACCCTGCGATTAGGCGTACTTTTCAGGGTGCACTTAAAAAGGAAAGGTACGCCTGATCGCAGGTTACTTGAACATCGAAAGCAAACCGAAAGCAAACCTTGAATTTTGGCGGGGATATAACGCCATAGTTAACATGGAGTATTAGTTGACTGAACTTTGCTGGTCCTTTCGACCCTGTGGGATTGCAATAAACTCTTTCAGGCTCGTTGCTGGCTATTGGAAGTAACGGATTTTATCGGCCTCTTACTAACACATTTCTCCACCTTCATTGTAGGTTGAATTCATTTCAGATGGTAAAAGTCAATTTTGTCTCCTCCCCGGGAAATCCTTCAATCGGTTTGGTTCACATAAGGCTTTCAGCCACTGTGTAAGTAAAACAACTGAAGCTCTAGTCGAAGAGCTTCAAAATGCCTTAAGAAAATTGAGGTCGTCCCAAGACGATTCATCTAGTTCGTGCAATAAAACAGACGTTTTATCCGAGTCCCTGTCCGAGGTAGTCGCAGACATCGAGAAAGGTCCGGATATCGATAAGACAACAGAGAGCAGCACAAGCAGCAAAAATACGTCCCCGGCCTGTTCCAGCAAATCTAGGAAAAGGAAATGCTTGTCCCCTGCGTCAACGGCCACCAAAAAAGTTGCACGAAGTGATGAAATGCAAGAATCGTGTGAGAAGTGCCTTATCTCAAGTGAGTGCTTTTATGTGACTTCATCATGAAAGGTGTCCATGTTGGTGGGGAAGAAAATAGCCTGTCGCTTTACTGGCAATTAAACTTAAAGTTTTGAGCATATTATTAAAAAAGATTGTATTGTATTTTCGTATTAAAGCCAATTGCATGTTTGTTACATACGGGCAATTTCCTATACTTTGCATCGTTTACATTAACTACGTGTGCATGTACTTAAAATTCTGATTGGTTCTCTTAGAAGCTCTCTGCATCTCTTGTGATTAGTCCAAGTGATTGCTGTGGTTTTTGCGGCACTCAATTTGAAGACCACTCTATTAATTACACCAAAAATTAGAGAAAAATTTGATCACGTACACGTGTGATTTGCTTGAAGTAAAATCGTATCATCTGACTTCCCTACCCCTTTCCCCCCACTCTGTTTATATACACAGGGTTCGTATAGGTTCTGTTTAGTCATGGAATTCTATTGGTGGTGTTGAATGGGACTGGAAACTCCTGGAAATTGTAACTTTAACTCCAACAATATTTTTTCTTGATTGTCAAGCACTGCAAAAACCTGTCTTTAATACTCCCTGAAACTTTACTTTAAGTGCCTATGAAGTAAAAAATTACATTTGCATTTGAGCGAAAATGGCGCTTTCTCTTTCAAAAGATGTTTTTTCATTCCCAAAGCTTAAAATTGATGATGTCATCAGTGGTTCAAGCAAGAAGATAAATCACAAAATTGATAATATCTCTGGAAATATATAAGTGATGCCATTTAAACTTGGCACCAGTAATAGGCCATTTCAGAAATGTGAGAGGACTGGGACGAGTTTGGTTGCTTTCTGTTTGTTTAAAAAAACTAAGACATTCAAATGAGAGATCAACCAAGTTTGAGATGTATTTAGAGGAGGAAAATGGCGAAATAATATATCTTCAAATATCACCTAAAATAGAGAGTTCGTATGGAATGGGTAGACAGGCCACAAAATTAGAAGGGTTTGTATGGGATTTTGCAACTTTTGCAAGTCTCCCATTTGGCCAATTTTCCGTAGAAAACTCTCAAAGTTGGCTGGATAGCTTTTTATTTGGTAACATTTCAGTTGAAGAGTTTAGATTTTCAATCTAAGCAAGTATGAGAAACTCGTCCTAGTCCTCTCACGTTTCTGAAATGGCTTATGTACGTCAGATAAGACATAATAACAGTTCTGCTTCCCAGTCTATTTCATGCTGGATTAAGTTTCCAGTTTTTTTTTTAACATTATTAAGCATTGTCCACCTGTGATGAGGTGGTAAAGAGTCGTAAGGTAATATGGGTATCACATGTGTTTTCAAGTAAGACCATCTGTTCACTCCTCACCTGTTCAAAATTGGAGATATTTGATTCATGGCTAAAGAAGCCTTAGACCTAGAGTGTTGCTATGGGAACATCACAGAAGGTATCATTTTGCTTATTTCCTGACGTTCATTACTGGTGCCAAGTTTAAGTTTCTCAAAACTCCTGAAAAGCTGTTCTGCATGCATTAGGCTCATTCCCAGAAGTTCTCTTCTGTTAATAACTAAGCACGCTATACACTGTACAGTTAAAAATTACATTAGGCTGGCTATCTCAAAGTACAATTCAGTCAAAAAACAGCTTGAAAAGTGGCTTCTCAAACCTGAAATGTTTCTGGAATTTTGAGAGAGGCATGCCAGTTGTTAAATCTAGAAAATGCAGTATCTAGACTGCAGTTAATATTAAGACGATCTATGTTTTGTTTTAATCATCACAGCAACATCACAACTCATTCCCATTGAGAAGCTTGGTTTGCCTGTCGGCCCATCAAGGCAATTTCGACGCGTAAATGATGCATTTGTTGACAGCCTCAAAGAAGAATTGTTAAAAGAGCCAAGTGGAAGTCATGGATGTCTGTTCGTGGTTGCAAAGGGTGTAGAAAGCAAAGAAACATTTGATCCAGCTAAAAAGGATGCATATGAGTACGAAGTTTTGGGGGGTACTCACCTGATGCTAGCCACCAAGAAACTTCATTCCCAGTACCCAGAAAACAAACATTACCAAGGCAGAATGGCAAGAATCTACTGTGGCCTTACAGATGATCAGGCTGTTTACCTTGGTGCCATGCATCAAAGGTCGTCATCATTCTGTCATGACATTACATACAGAGAAGAGGTACATTTTGTATTAAAATTTTGGATTTGAAATTGAATTCAGGCATGCTTGAAGCATACCACATTGTTGTTGTCATTAAAGAAAGTGAATATTATTTGCTAGTCTGTCAATGAATATGAAACACTGCATAATCAATGATGTTGCATGTACATGTACAGTGTATGTAATGGCCAGCCTGTTTGTTAATATAGAGCCCAGTTAAGGCAATATGAAGAATTAATAACTTTTAATATGCCCTTTCCCACTACTTTCCTTGTGTCATCTAATTTACAGCATTTTTCTTCATACAAATTAATTTAGGTAGAGAGATGTAGATCTCAACTATATGGAGAGCTTGATGTACAGAGTGAACCTCCAAAGCCGCAACCATCGTGGAGAGATGAGTGTTCTCGTATTTTATACAAAGATGTAAGAATTTAATTCACTTAAGTAATGCAAGTTGAGTTTTTTAAAAGAAATTGCTGAAAGGAGTGGTAACAGAATTACAGTCGTGACATTTTCCTACATGGAAACAGAGAACCATTAATTTTTGGTTATTGCCTAACACATAGTCACTTGATTACAGTTGAATGGTGTTCAAGTTTTATTTGAAGTACTTTTGTCCCCTTCCTTGACCAAAGACAGTTATATTGTTCTGACATGTAGTTACATGCACCTAGCCAATCTCCGAGGTCATCTATCTTTTTCTATACGTGTACTTTGCTATGTCACCATTATCAGCAGCTCACATTAAGAAATTCTGTCTTACAGAAAAGAATTTTGTGTGAGGTCTTCACTATGGCACAAGTATCCTCAAGTACTTGGGCCGCTTTCATGGAGGTAAACAGGCTGTACGAGATTGGGAAGCTCAAAGGGCAGAGTTTTTTCTCCTGGCGATGTCGTCAAAGGGACATTAGCAATTAAACAGTGGCATATGAAGCCATTAGTCAGCCTTCCTGATGAAACAAAACTATTCCTTTTGAACAAGGTAAAGGCAATATTGCAACAGTCTGGCATGAAATTTTGTTTTTCACTCCATTTTGTATTTTATTATATTTTAAGTTAAATTCCACTTCTTTTCAGTGGCTAATAACCCCAAGAATTTAAACTAATTTGTGTGTACTTTCTCTCTTTGGCATCCCTTGAAAATGTGTTTATGTAGCTTCTGTTCCAATTGTCGCTCTACAAACCCCTGTCTTTATTATCTGGTTCTTTTTAGATCTCTTCTGGTGAATTGTTATTAAAAGATTTAAAACAGAAGCAGACAAGATAAAGACACTGAACACTGTACAGTTTACAGTTATGTCATTCTTTAAAGTAGACGATTGGGATGAGATAGTCAAGAGATTTGGTCCAATGGTCAACAACGAGAAGCTGTTGAGATTTACAGTAAGCCAACATGTTTTTCGTTGACTAATATAGAAATTACCTAGTATGTAACTATGTAAACAGTCATCTGCATTAATTATTACATTACACAGTATTCACATAGTTTTCTTCTTAAGACCTGATCCATTTTTGTAGAGATTTACTGTGGAAATCTAAAAGCTATGAACACTTTGATTTGATTTTTTACATTTCCCATTGTACAGCAACCAATCAGAAGTAACGCAAAACCTCAAACTACTTATATTACCATTACTGTTTGTGGTTTAATTTATTATTCTTGTGCTTGAAATTTAACCACATTGACCTCTTAGTGTTCACAATTTTTGGATTTTCATAGTAATACTTCTAGTGTTAAAAAAAAAAAAATTTGAGAACAGTTTTCATTATATGCAAGTACAAAATACAACTATATATCCTGCAGGTTGGGGAGGAGAAATTAAGGTAAATAGTAAGTTCAAGTGATACAGTGAGAGTAGCTGACAATTCTATCATGTATATGAAGAAGAGGTAACTATTATCTACTGCAAAGGAATCTACTGAAGGAGCAGACTGTTCTTAAGGCATTGCATTACCACCAATTCTTGCTGGGTAATCAGTAGGAAATCTTTTAAAGATTTACTTCCAATATTTTTTGTAGCTTATTGTTCCTATTCCTTCAATTTAGGAAATTTTGAGGCCTCATATGATTTCCAAGTGTTCCTGAAGAGGTTGAAAGAGTGGGAATCTGCTAGGCATGAGGCAGCAGAAGATACTCCAGTTGCTACCCTGGGGGTTGAAGAATTTACTGTCAGTAATGAGGGTCTGCACAACAAGGGCAGTGCTGTTTTCCTTGTAACCTTCAAGAGGTGACCCAAAGCATGGAAATCTTCAAATTGAACTTTGAGGGCATCTCCCTTGCCCTAGGAGTTGTTGGATTTGATGATAAGGTACATGACATGCCTTCCTGTGTGTTTGTAATAAGCATTAATTCCTACACATCTTCATCTTATTTTGATGGATGTTAACTGGCTTGTAAAATGACAGTGTGACAAATTCTTCCTTTTTTTTCACAAACTACTACTGTGACCATAAGGAACTTTAAAAGGAGAATCTTCAGCTGAACAGAAGTTAGATGAAGCTTTTTCTCATTCCACTTTGTCATTAAATGTATTAAACACCACTTTCAGTTCTGAAGAATTGTGATAACCAACCACCAAAATTCATTACTTGCTCCCCTCAAAAAAAGTTGTTCTGTGTAGAACCCAAGTGCTGTTAATACTCCCGTTACTTACAGATATTTACATGTATGTTAAATGTGTTTCCTATTGTACATTGTCTGTTGAAAGTCACCCACAAAGTCCAATTAATCAAAGGTTTCTGTTGATAATAATAATTATTGTCTTATTGCTGTTTTCAATATATTTTAGGGACAGCTGGAAGTGGAAGAAAAATGTAGTGAAATAGTTAAGCTGCTTTCCAGACTAAACTTCACAGTCCTGAGCTCATTTAACTGTGTCATTATGTGTCCTGTGCACTGGGCGCATATTGTGTCCGAAACATTTACCAAGGAAGGTGCAAGCCAGACCCAACAGGGTTTTATCTATCATAAACAACAACTGAAAAGTAGGCAAGGTGAGAGAATAGGCCATTATTAATATACATGGAATCAATTGCTGACAATACCCTAATTCTCTGTTTTCCACCGCGCACAGGTGGCTCAGTTGGTTGAGTACCGGGCTGTCGTGCGGGAGGTTGCAGGTTCGAACCCTGGCCGGACCATTACTCGGGGTCTTAAAATAACTCAGTGCTGCCTTTGTAATGACATCTGCAAATGGCTAGACTCTCTAGTCTTCTCGGATAAGGACGATAAACCGTTCGCCCCGTCTCACAACCTTTCAATGTTCATAACCCTGTGGGACGTAAAAGAACCCACACACCATTTGCAAAGAGTAGGGCATGAAGTTCGCGGTGTTGTGGTCAGGCCTTATTTCATTCATTCATATGCATTGGGTTGGGTGAGATCGCTAATGGACTGATAGCGGCTTCCAGAGGCACCTGTGTATGCTGAGGTCCGGTCTCACCCATGGATCTATAACTTGTAAAGCGCATTTGAATATGCATATAGAAAATGCGCTGTACAAATTCAATACCATATTTTTCAAGACCAATGTTTTCTATTTCTCACATCACAGCAAAAATTGAATTAATTTTTATGTCTAACCTGGCATATGTATTACTTGTTCACATTGTAATAAATCTGTTGTTAATGCTTTGCCTATTTCTAACCTTTAGGTAGCAAAATGCAAGAGGTGGTATCCTCATTTATTGTTGGCCACTGGGCTTCATCTAGGATAGTGGGAAAGAGCCATGTCAATTATGCCACTCCTCCTCCAAACATTGTTGAGGTGACTTCTGCAAGAATAGGGGAGGAATACCCTGTTTCCTTTTTTAAGGACATAATCAGTTGGTTTTCAAAGGATGGAGACTTAATCCTAGAAGTAGGATATGGGGATGAAGTTGGTATGTAAATTTCATTTAGGGGGTGTTGCTCTGATTTTTTACACGGAATGACTTATCTTTTTAGTAGAGACAAGATATGCCTTTCAATTAAGTGTGTTACAGGCAAGTAATTTTGCATGTATATACCATATCATTTTTGTGTGATTTATGGAGTTCTTGATGAAAGGGCCTTCACTTACTTGAAGTTCTGGATCTGCCAGTGTAATGTGTCCCTAGAGCTGCAGTCTGCATGCTCTATTGCAGTCCAGATGATTATGTTTTGATATAGACTGTAATACTTGACCTACCATGCCATATTTTGTAGGTTTAAAAGGGATTATTCATTTCTAGTCGGTGTCAAAAATGTATAAATTGACATCACTCTTGCATCTCATTTTGTTAGTTACTGTTTTAAAATTATGTGTAAATTAATTGTTGTGATGTGCATCTCTTTTACACCCCTCATGCTTTTCTCTTACAGGGAATGCTTTTACTGCCGCTCTGATGTGTGGAAGGAAGGCTACATTGACAGGCACATCATGTGACAAGCGCATTATCTGCCAAAAACTAAGTACCAGTACTCAGCTCACAACTACTCAGATAGATTAAGGCCTGGTTGTTTACAGATTTAAAGTGCATTTTAAACTATTGTAAACTATTGAAAATATCCCATGACTAAGGCTTAACGACTGGTAAGAAACAGATCTTACAAATTCATTTTAAACATTTTAAACTCAGTCCAAGTGTATTTTTCAGGCCAGTGTTGGGGTCAATACCGAGAATTTGGAGCTTAACTCATTTGTGATTGGCTAATGGGATGTGTTGGTTAAAATTTTCAACCAAGAAAGGGCATTTCTAATGATTTGTTCAAGTTAGCTATCTTGCTATTCCTCTTGGACGCCTTTAAGTGAATTTTGGAAAATGTGCTTACTCTTTTATTCAAAGAGTTAATTACGGAGGCAGAAAATGTTGTACCTTTTGAGTCGTTACAGGAAATCCTATGTTCTTACCATTCGAATGAAACCGCTGCAGCAGTACAAAATGAAAATTTGGATTTTTCCAAACGTTTACATAGTGACCATTGTTGTAGTGAAAGGTAAAGAATCACAAAAATAAATCATTTTAAGACCAGCCCTTAATCTACTTGAGTACCATATGGTTTAAGAGGGCTTTATTGGTCATTTTGTTTAGTACAGTTGAAAATTCAGCTGTTGCAAACTAAATTAGATGTTTGGTATATGATGTTGTTAGTAATAAACTTCCAAATTTTAGAATTGACTTTGATTAGC